GTGGCTCTGTTGGAGGGATGGCTTGTGCCCCCTCCTGGCTGTGGACCTCAGTTCTACTGAGCGAGGTCTGAGCTTCGGCCCAGGAGCAGCGGCCCCGTGGCAGCAGCGGCCACAGAGGGAGAGCCCACTGGCCACAGGGAAGGCCAGCGTTGGTCCAACAGCATTGCATGCTGGCAATGGAGACATCTCAAAATCCCATCTCCTGGTTTCCCGGGCCTTTGGCACTGTGCACCAAGTGTCGTCTGCCCCCGCCCCCACCCCCCAGCTCCAAGGCAGCCGGGAGAAGGGGATGGGCCACCTGCTGTGGCTGACTGAACTGACATCCAGCCCCCATCGGCACTTCTGCACTCTGCGGAAGGGAGGGGAGCACTGGACCTAGACAGTGGGACACTACACTTGTGCCAACGTGAACCTGACCTTTGGTGGCCCCATGGGTGTGAGAGGGGACTCAGCAGGGAGTGGGGCCGACCCCATCACTCCCCCAGGCACCCCTGCAGTGAGTCTCCCTAGAGCCAGACCTACCCCTGTGCCCTCTCTGGCCCTCCAGTTCCACCCTCCCTGTTCCAGCACCTGACCCCCCTCTCGTTCCCTCCCCCCCACTGCCCCTCTCCCTACCTACCTCTCTGATGCTCTGTTCTCCATGTTATCTTCACTCTCCATCCCTCTAAGCCCCTGGCTCCAGGCGTTTGGATTGAACAGGCCTCAGCCACTGGTATCAAATGACCCTGAATTGGGGCCTCTATATTTTTAACCCACCAGACACCCGAAGCTCTTGCTACTGAAACCTGAGGAGCTGGCCCCTCCACACTCCCCCTCCCCACTTCACTCACCCACACCCTGGCCCCTCGGCCTCCTAGGTTCTGGTTCAGCCGTGTCAGCAGCGCTGGGAGGGACCCCAGACTGATATAGCCCTGTCCCTAGGAGACCTTGCGCTGGAAGAGGGCGGGGAGTGGGAGGGAGGGGGCCCTCTGAGGAGGGGCCTCTAGAGTGGCCCGCTAGACCTTATTCCGGCATCTCTTGACTTGGCCCGTGGCCACTCACCCCCCAGCACCAACCATGGCTTTTTTTCCAGCACTAGCAGAGCTGGGGCTTTGTGGGGTTTTCTGGCCTGGCCTTCCTTCCCAGTTTGCATCCTGGCTAAGGGTGCAGCACTGGAATGGGCCAGACTTCCTTTCCTCATCTATAAAAGGGAGCGAGGCGCAGAGAGACAGACCTCTGTTGGGAATCAGTTGATGATGTGCAAAGCCCTGAGCCCAGCAGGCATAGCATGCAGTCAATGCGTGTGCCTTGTTCTTAGTACCAGCCTACAATCCCCCCATCCCTCTCCCGCCCCTGTCCCCCGCTTTCCTCAGTACTGGGCTCTCACTCTGTACCTTTGGGCTCAGCCAACCCTCCGCTCTGCAAGGGGCCTGGCAACAAAAGGACAGACTGCTAGCACGGAGGGGAGGGAGGAAGAACCAGCTAGGAGGAGGATCCTCTGGGACATCTCACTCCCCTGAGAAAAGGAGCAGTAGATGCAGGAGCCCAGGCGTGAGCGCAAGCTCTTGGAATGTCCATCACCCTAAGGCACCCCGGGCTGGAGGGTGGGCGCTCTGCCTGAAGTCAAGGCTCCAGGGACTCAGAGAATGTTATAGTCTGGGTTTCAGGTGACTTCAAGAAACCAGGCAGGGGCTTGGGGTGGGGGTGGGGTCCTGGTGGTGGGGGTGGGGACACGTGGATGGGGTTGAGAAGCCTGAGGAAAAGAGGATGGGGGCTACAGTCTTCCTGGGTCTTTCCCTGGGGCCCATTCCCTTCTTCAGAGAAGCTGTGGTCTCACATTCACCACTCATCTCAGGCTCTTCACCCAGGCAGGTCTCTTTTTTAGCTCTGTGAGCCTACAGGCGAATTGGAGGAATCTGAGGTGGGGGCTACAGGAGCCTATGCTGCCCACCCACCGCTGGGCTGGGTGCTGGGACCTCTCCCTGTAGGCTGAGATCAACTGCCGCTCTTTCTACCCTATCCTACCCTATCCTATCCTCCCCATCCTGTCCTGTCCTATCCTATCCTACTCTATCTTCCCCATCCTATCGTAGCCTCCCTGTTTTATCCTATCCTAACCTCCCTGTCTTATGCTCCCATTTTATCCTATCCTATCCTCTCCATCCTATTTTATTCTCCCTGTCCTATCCCATCCTCCCTATTCTATCCTATCTCAACTCATTCTCCCTACCCTACCCTACCCTATCCTATCCTATTCCATTCTCCCTATCCTCTGCTCTCCCCTCCCCTCCCCTCCCCTCCTCTCCCCTCCCCTCCTTTCCCTTCCCTTCCCTTCCCATCTACCCTCTCTAGCCTCGCATTTCACTGATTTGACATGGGGGGCAGTCACTTAACCCCTATGAAGCAAACATGCTGGACTCTGCTTCCCTCCAAGCCTGGAATGTGGTCCTAGAGTGACCACCCTGGCTTAGTTACCATGGAAACCAGGGAGACCACGCCACAGTAAACATTCCCCCAAGCCCCAAACCTAAGCCATTGCAGTTAAGTTGATTTCAACTCACGTGACCCCCCTAGTAGAACTGCCCCACCGGGGCTCCAAGACCGAGGGTCTGATGGGTTTGAACTGACAACCTTTTGGTTAGTAGCTGGGCCACTATGGCTCCTTCATGCCCCTAAAATCAGATGCAGCACTACAAGCCAGGTGAGAGATGGTTCCAAACATTTACTCTCCAGATGGGATTCAGCAGAGGACCACACCCCTACTTCCTGGGCTGGAGCCAGATTCAGGCTGGACGTGCCCTAACCCACCCCAACCTGCTACCACGATGCTCAATGCAGCACCAGGAGAGCACGTGTCTCACCCCAGAGGACCCACCTCCCCACCTTCAACTCTCAGACCCATGTTGGGTCAAACCCAGAACCCCTTACCCTCGCTCCCACCCCCATCCCCGGGTCAGATGCAGCTGCTCCTCTGCCCCGTTCAGTAGTAGGTCTCCTGCTCCAGCCAGCCTGGGGGGAGAAGAGACCCGAGTGAACTGGGAGGCACCAAGGGGAGACCCCCACGGAGGGAAAAAAGAGTTGCTGACACCAAGGGCTTGAGTAGAAAGAAAATGTTTTGGAAATGATGATGGCAACATATGTACAAATGTCCTTGATACAGTTGATGTATGGATTGTTATAAGAGCTGTTAAGAGCCCTTAAATAAAATGATTTTTAAATAAGGGTTGGGAGACACCCTGTAGACTGAAAGCAATACCTGAGCCTCTGAAAGGCAGGCATCGAGGCCTGGAAGGATGGGGAGGTAGAGTCAGGGCTGAGGGGTCAGGGCACAGGAAGGACCAGACAGGGAGGTGGGGAGGTGAGGAGAAAGGCAGGTGTGATGGGAGAGCTAGTTAGGGGACTGGTGGGCCATGAGCCAGAGCAGGGCTCCGGGGCGACTCACCCCCAGGCCTTTGTCGTATGGTGAGCTTTCTGAGTTCGTCATAGATGAAGATAAGAAGGCTGTAGGGCACGGCACAGAACCACCAGGTTATCCTGTGGGAAGCAAGCAGCGGTCAGGCTGGCACCCTTGATGAGGGCAGAGAAGATACGGAGATCTCAGGGCTCTCTTCCTGACATCCTGGAGCACCATCCCGTTGATCCCACTCTGAGGAAGTCAGAGCCTCAGGGAGAAGGTGTCGGAGGTGGAGAGGAAAGGCATAGACCGAGGTCTCTGTCACTGTCAAAAGCCAATGACCAGGAGTCCCTGGGCGCCACAAATGACTAAGTGCTGCCAACCAGGAGGGTTTGGGTTCACATCCACCTAGAGGTGCCTCGGAAGAAAGGTCTGGTGATCAGCTTCTGGGAGGACAGCCACTGATGGAGCGGGGAGAGCCAGTGCCAGCCAGACACAAACGTCACCCAAACGCTGTGTGATGCGGTCACAGAGGTTATCTACCAGCTTTTGGTTTCTGGGGGACCTTAGGCCTTGCACTCACAAAGAGGAGGTTATTCGAATCAGATGGGTCTGACACACTCCCTACACATCATGTTGGGCACACACCCTCCCCACTCTACCCCTATGATGGGGAACATTTGGTTTGTTCTTGGATGACCAGCAAGAAGAGGTGGCCTGGACCAGCACTATCCAAGGGAAATATAATGTGAGCCACGTGTGAAATGTAAATTTCCCAAGTAGCTGCATTAAAATAAATATGTTAAATGGGAGAGGATTAACTTTATGAATACATTTTGTTAAACTCAGTATACTCAAAATATTATCATTTTAACATTGAACCAATATAAAAATTAAAAGATTGAACCAATATAAAAATTATGAGTGAGACCTTTTACCGTCTTTTCTTGAAGTCCGGTGTGGACACTGCCCTTGTGGTCAGGTGCCGTCCAGTTGGACTCTTGGCGACCCTGTGCACAGCAGGAGGAAGTGCTGCCGCCGGTCCTGCGCCGCCCTCACCACTGTTGTCACGCGAGAGCCCATTCCTGCGGGCCCTGTGTAGCCTGTCTCCTCCAGGACTTCTTCTGTTTTGAGACCCTCCACCTTAACCAGCACGACGTCCTTTTCCAGGGACTGGTCTCTTCTGACAGCATGCCCAAAGAATGTGAGGCAAGGTCTAGCCTTCCTCATTTGTAAAGAGCCTTCTGCCTTTACTTTCTCCAAGACAGATTGGTTTGTCCTTGGTATCCGATGTTCTTCACCAGCACCAGACTTCCAATGCACTGATTCCTCTCCCATCTTCCTTACTCGATGTCAACCTTCCCGTGCATAGGAGGTGATGGAAAAAACACCATGGCTTGGGTCAGGCACACCTTAGTCCTCAACAGGACACCCATGCTCTCCAACACTTTATTTTATTTATTATCATTTTATTCAGGGCTCTTACAGCTCATTTAACACCCCATGCATCAATCGTATCAAGCATATTTGTACATGTGTTGCCTCCAGCACTTTACAGAGGTCTTGTGTGGCAGATTTGCTGGATGCCATGTGCTGTTCGGTTTCTTGGCGGCTGCTTCCAAGAGTACTGATTGTAGAGCCAAGTCAAATGAAATCCTTGACAGCTTCAGTATTCTTCCTGTTTATCGCGATGTTGGCTATAGATCCAGATGCGAGGATTTTACAGTCAGGTGGAATCCATGCCGAAAGCTGTGGGCTTTGATTTTCATCAGTAGGTGCTTCAAGTCTTCTTGGCTCTCAGTAAGCAAGCTCGTGTCAGCCGCACATCACAGGCTGTTCATGAGCCTCCCTCCAATCCTAATGCTGCTTTCTTCTTCACACAGGGCAGCTTCTCTGATGATTGGCTCAGCATACACATTGAATAAGTATGGTGAGAGGAGACCACCCTGACACACACCTTTTCTGGCTTTCAGCCATGTCATAGCCCCCTGTTCTGTTTGAATGGCTGCCTCTTGGTCTGTGTGCAGCTTCCACAGGAGCTCGATGAAGTGTTCTGGAATTCCCTCTCCAGAGTTGGCTATGATAAGATTTTGAATGCATTCCAGCCTGAGGGGCTCAGGTTCCACTGTTCCTACTCCTTCTCGATTCCTAGCCCGGGAGCTCTGGTGGAACCTGTTCACCGTGGGTGACCCTGGTGACATTTGCAATACCAGTGGCATAGCTTCCAGCATCACAGCCACATCCAAGCTACCGTGCAGCATGACAAAACTGACACAGATCGGACATCCGGATCCAGGTAATGAACTTTCACTCGAGAGATGGCAACGTCGTCCAACCAGAACAACAAGAAGGCTATTTTTAATGGGACTGTTTTGTACTGTTTGGATTTCTACACTTAAATGTATGTGAGTCAGATACGATGACGACGACGATGGCCTCCATTCTTCAGTCCCACTAGTCAGGCTTCAAGTGCTCAGTCGTCACCTGAGGACGGCAGTTACCTCCTGGAACACATGGACCTAGATCAGACTAACCACGTGCGCGCACGCACACTCACACGCCTCAAACAGAAACACCTGCATACAGTCACCCATTCATTCAGCAGCAATCATCCGGCCACTCCATCTGTGTTAAGACCTGGGGGTGGGGGAGGATCATGTGATGGCCTTTGTTCTCAAGGAGCTTAAGGGAGTTGGGCAACAGAGGGTAGTTAGACATAGGACACTGATAATCACACTACTACGTGCTAAGTTGTACGGTGGAGGCATGTACCAAGTGCTTCTAGGAGTCCGGGTCATAATTGGCAGTAGTCATTATTACGTATATGTTGATACTGGTCATAATCACAACTGAGCTACGGTCAACAAGGTGTCCGCCACGACCCAAGCCTTGTGCTTGAGACATTCTACACATTTTCCGCGTGAGTCCCACAATGATTTGCCAGGTAGGTGTGCTTGAGATTCTGTCCATGCGACTCAGGCTCAGAATGGGGATGGATCGACTCAAGGTCAACACAAAATACACAGTGGGGATTGAGAGTCAAACCTGTGAGGATGGTCTGTGTTTCCTGCCAGGGCCAAGTCCTACTGTGTGTGCAGCACTGTGGGAAAGCCTGCCAGGGTGTAAAGGTACGTGAGTGATGTGTGCAAAGTCGGAGAGAACCCATCGGGAGAGTGAACGGGGGTGGGGTGGGGGTGGGGGTGTGTGTGGGTGAGGGTAATCACTAACCGAGGCGGCCGGTGGAGGGTGGGAGCTGAGCGGATGTTTTGCTTTCATCTGTACATTTCTATTTTTCCTCTGTGGATTTTTCGAGGGATTTCCTTGGGAACAAGCACATGCTAGTGTGTGTGTGTGTGTGTGTGTGTGTGTGAGAGAGAGAGAGAGAGAGAGAGAGAGAGAGATCTGTGACTTGAGTAGGACAAAGTCCCAGACCTGGAGGAGTTTCAGTGTGTCCACTCACATAGGTACACACGCCATTGAGCACAGGTGCGCCAGCACGGCAGAATCATCCAGGCATAGATTAGGTTGTTTGGGGGCTGACTTCAGTTCTAAGTGATACATATCATTGGACAGCCGCACTGCACCTCATTATCCAAGATCCCAGTCGGTTCAACACTGGTATGTGTGCTAAGTTTGCATGTCCAGTGACGTCTCTGCTACCTCCCCAAACCAGACCCATTTACCACCGCACAGATGGATCTCCCCGTCTCTCGCTGGGTGGAGCCTCGTTGACCCAGGCAGCTATGACGACCTTGTTCGAACACTCATGCTCGCCCACGAGCTCGCCCTGTGCCTGATCCCTGTGCTTACTCACTTGAGTGGGTACATTCGCAGGGCCTTGGCCATGCCTGGCGTATAGGACAGAACAGCAGCCAGGACTGTCTCCTCCAAAATCCCAAAGAGTAGGACCTTGTTTCTGCAAAGACATGTGTGCGGGTTAATTGGAGATAGGAAGGAAGGGGTAGGAACTGATTGCCTGCCCCCGCAACCCCCAAATCGTGTCCAGGGTGTGGAGAGCGTTGGGACCCTGGGTGGGGCACTCACTTCATGCCCTGCTGGAAGACGGAGTTGCGGCGCGTCTTGCAGATGATGAGGTCAGCCCACTGCACCACCACGATGCTGACGAAGAAGGCCGTGTGGCACGTGAACTCCACCACCTTCCGCTGCTCGTAGGTCTGGGGGGAGGGCAGGCCGAGTGAGTGAGCGTGTCAGCAGGAGAGGGACACCCCAAAGGCTTCCTCCTGGACCGGGGAGGCCGAGTCAGGTACTCTCCCTTCAGACTCTGATGACACTTCGGTCATCTCTGAGAGCATTTTTCAAGTTTTTCCTTAGTTGACTGGAAGTTGCTTGAGGGGAAGGGCCTTGTCTGACCCACCATGCATCTCTCCAGGCTTAGTTCCATGAATGGCATGCAGCATTTGCTCTGCTGAGTATTTGCAGAACTAATAAGAAGGATGGGGTCAGAGGAGGAGGTGGAATCACAGCTCCTGGTGGAGTAGCGGAACCAAGTCAGAAAGGGAAAGCAGGGTGCTAGCGGGGAGATTCATGCCCAAGAGGGCTGGTAGAGGAGACAGCCCTTCTTATCATATACAGAAGCGACTTCCAGTCTAGTGGAGAAGATACATATGCTATGCGAGTACAACAAGACCCCAAACCAAACCAGATACCACTGATTCCAAGTCATCGGTGACCCCTGTGTTTCGCAGTAGAACGATGCTCGAGGAAGGTCTTTCTTTTTAAAAATAATTGATCCTTCCTATTTGTGTGGTTGCTGAGACCACACACAGCACAATCTACACTCCCGTTCAAGTCTCTACCCGTACATTTCAGGGGTAGGGATGACTCTCACCCTCTGAGTTGTTCCTCCCCCCTCACGCCCCACCCCCTTCCCAGAGTTCTTATCTAACCTTTCTAGTTGCTTTTGCCAACTTGATCCCATCTAGATCGATCAATGATCGAGGCAGGCATTCATTGCTCCCTAAGTTGAACTACTGTTTGGTCTTAAGAAAACTTGAGGGGGTGTTTTGTTGATTTAAGGTTACATAGGGTTTTGGATGTGTTCTCTCAGGAGCAGTTACCTGGCCTTTCTTCAGATGTACCTCTGTGTGTTTTGAACCACTAACCTTTGGGTCAGTAGCCAAGCACTTAGCCATTTAGCCACCCAGGGACCCAACAACAGCAAAGGGCACAGTTATGCCAAATTGACTCTGACTCATGGGGTCCTGGGTGTGTCAGGCTAGAACTGTGCTCCGTAGGGTTTTCACTGACTGTTTTTGTTTGTTTTTTACCCCCTGAAGTGCCTCGGGTAAACTTGAACCACTGACCTTTCAGTTCAGGGTGGAGCACACTTACTAGGTGTATTACCTAAGGGCCTCCGACAGATCTATCAAGGGGAGGTTACAGAAGGCTTCAGGGACACACAAGCTCACGGAACAGTAACAGAGTTTTTCCATGAACTTTTTGCAGCCTCCCCCAATCTATCTGAATTAAACTGGAGGACGGGGGAAGAAAGCTCTTGGTTCTTGTGGTTAAAAATAAAACATCCTGTTGGTAAAGCATCCTAGGTCAAACAAGAATATTTGAAACCATGTCGGACAGAACAGTGAAGAGCTGCTACAGGTCAGGCCTCGGGTGCTGCTGCGGTCTGAGCCGGAGCTGATTGGAAAACAGGCTGGCAATGAACAAGCCAAGTTTGGAACCAAGAATGAATGAGAGCCTGCAGCGGGCTTGGCTGCATGAGCTCACACTGCCCCTTTCTCCTCTCTTACAGTCATCCACCTTTCTCTGGGCCACTTCCCCCCATTTGGGGATGATTTTAGCCTGACTCATGGTCACACCAACACTATTCCTGTCCTAGTTTTTTGAGATTTAAATATCTATGCTGATGATCCTTCCAATACCTTCTTGGTCTCACAGTTCCTTAATTTCCTTCTTTTCCAATGATGGTGCCCTCGACTCTTCGCCTAGGTTGCTCCCCCCTGGGTTTCAACTTTAACCCGTGTCCTTCCCAAGTCTCACTATCTTCTCTCCCTCTCACTCACTCCAGTGTCTCAACTGCCACGCTTCTGGAACTCTCCTTGGACCCACAACCCACTGACCCTACCACTCCCCTCTATTTCTTTAACTCTTTACGGTCCCCTTTTCTTCCTTCCCTAACTTAAATCCCGTGGTCCATACTTCAGCTATTTCCTTTACATACATCTTCCACATCCTGGACTCTACCCACGGTCTAATTCCATCCATGACTCAGGAGTCCACTGTGGCTGGAGGAAGCAGGCAGACATGGCAGCTTAGCTCAGGTCATGACCCCTTACTGTACTGGGAAGGCTTTAGTGCGGCCTGGGATTTATTGGACATTTCCATGTTCCTTTCCCCTCCTTCACTCTTGCCTCAAATCCTCCCTGCCATTCTCATTTGCAGTAGATAAACCCGCACTATGTTTCCCTGAGAAAATACAAGCAATAAGGAGAGAAGGCTCACAGCCCTCCCATCATGCTTGCCTCCCCACCTGTACTTGCTTTTCGGATACTGTGGCTTCGCGCCTCTCATCATTCCCCTTGTCAGTAAGATCCCCTCCTACCTCACCTACCCCAGGACCTTGCTCCAGTAGTTGCCTCCTCTCTCTACGGCATCCTTTTTACTCAGCCCCACTGCATGGTTCTCAGGCGCTACAGCTCCCGGGTCTGCTCCTTTTTGTAGCTACAGCAGGGTAGTGGTGGGTCAGTGGTAGACTTCTCACTTTCCATGGGATGGAGGTTCTTTCCTGGCTAATGTCCCTGTGCTCAGCCAAAGCTTCTTTGTCACCGGAAGCTTCCGTGTTGCTATGACACCAAGCAGGTTTCAGCAGAGCTTTCAGACTCAGGCTACAAGACAGACAGGCCCTCCTTGTGAAAATTAGCCAAGGAAAATCCTATCGGCCATAACAGTTCATCGTTGTCGCAAGAGGTAGGGGCTGACTTAAGGGCAGCCAACATCAACTTTATAGTAAAATGCCTTTTCGTGCGTGGTCTATTTGTATTATCTCCAATGTGCTCTCTTGTTATCCTCCGGCATGCCATGAAACTATTCTTGTTAAAATCACCAAGGACTTTCTGGTTGCCCAATCCAGTGGCCACCTCTTCATGGTCACCCCGGTGCTCCAATCTGCTGGGTGGACATAGTGGACCTTTGCCTCCGTGCATCATTCCTAGCTTGGCTCCCAGGAATCTGTATTTCTCTACCAGCCACTTCCTCGGGCGCCTTTGCCCCTCTTCTCTCGGTGTCTAAGCAGTGGAGCACCCCAAGTTTCAGCCCCTGGTCCCCATCTCTCAGAGGCACTCACCTCCCCAGAGGGAGCCTCTAGCCTCATGACCATCTCAGGGCCAATGACTCCCAAGTGTAGGTCCCCAACCTGAGCCTCTCCTCTGGACTGCAGACCCATCTATCCAACCGCCTCTCAACAGTTCCAACTGGAGGGTCAATGGGCATCCCCGGGATCACGACCACGATGGACATGTCTCCCTAAACCTGCCCTTTCTCCAGTCTTTCTCCTAAATGGCAGCTGCCAGTTTCTGATTTCCAGCCCCCAAATGGCGGAGGCATCCGGCTGCGTTTCTTTTTC